AGCATATGGGATATTTTGATTATTCGGTAGTGGAATGCCAGCAACAGAAAGAAATGAAACTATTATAGAATGGGAAAGAAAGAGAGAACTGAATCGTCTCTCATATTTGTATGTTTATCACTTGTACGTGGAAACAGTGCTGAGATATAAAAAGTTAAAAAGATTGACGGCCGCAAAAGAAGAAAGTCGGATCATTGCATTATCACTTAAAACATTAACACGGCAGGACAACTGCGAGCAGATCGTTTTCATTCGACCATTCCTATACTAGTCAACTCTTTCACTCAACGAGGTACCTTCATTCGTCAAGTCAGTAAACATTTCGAAAGTGCCGGATTGGGCAGTGAACCACCTCGTCCAATGTTGGTCGAACTTGCAGTGACTGGTTTGCTCCGCGAAGGCAACGGTGAACATGCCGAGAAGATCAAACGATTACTCGAAGTGAAAGATGGAAGCGAGCAAGAAATATTTGGAATATGTGCTCAACTCTACTCGATGAGTTCATTCATATATCGAGAAATGAACGAAGTCATGCGATCGGATGGAGATGAACAACAAACGGCGTTTGTTAAAACCAAAGTGCCCACGGTCGGTCCATTTGCGTATCTTCTTTGGAAACTTCTACCCCGTCGTACACAAACAATTACCGTCTATCGAGGTGTAAAACTGTCAAACGAGCAAATTCAACAATACGAGAACTCTAGGAAAGCAAAAGACTGGTGCATGTTTCCTGCATTCACCTCGACAAGTCAAAATAGAGAGAAAGCTCAAGACTTTGGCAGTGAAGAGACAGCTCAAGGCTTTCGCCATGTACTTTTCGAAATTGACATTCATGAGCGTGGAGCGGACATACGAAATTATTCCGACTTCGAACACGAAGACGAGGTGTTATTACCTCCTATGTTCATGTTCGCTGTCATATCGTGCGAAGAGGTGGACAATCAGTGGATAATTCATCTCAACGGATACTAACTTTGTTAGTTCCTCTTTTTTGTCTTCTGTTTTTCTTCTTTATCGTTATGTTAAAAAAGGGTTTTGTTCGTTCATTTCGCTAAGTTATCAAGGAAAAAGTTGACATCAGCTAGCAGCGACTTTAAAGGGTCCTTCTTCAGGCTTGGTTTGGAGGATTACATTGTATCGTTGGGTAGCCCCGTATTAT